CAAAGCAATCAGACTTGCGGTTTTTAAAAAGAAGTCGAAAATATCACCTTTTATCAAAAATGACAAAAAATATTCACCAAAATAAGAGAATTAAAGATATCATCATGAAAAGAACAAATCTAAGAGAGGCCTGCCCAAGGTACATATATACCAAATATCAAAGAATTCAGGCTTGTAGTTTTCAAGAACAAGTTGAAAAAGTAAAACATTGACGGACAATCACTCATATGATAAGCTCCGCTCGACAATTCAAAGCAAGAAAGATTGCAGTCAAATATTAACTGAACCCATGTAACAATTTTATTATGAAGTTACTGTGAGAAAACCTTGACTCGGAGATAGTTTGGTGATCATATCGACCGAAATATAGGTCGTGGTTTACATAATCATTGCATTTGACCTTGAACATTTTGCACTGTTTTATCCTGGAGAAAAGGTTGACAGAGAAGACATTTCAATGATGAAACACTGAAATCATTTGTCATTTTATTAAAAACACTGTCATTTCAATGACAATTGAATGTGATAACCATAACCATAACACTGCAATAAGATTTTACTCACATCTAAAAACGATGCATTGATATAATTATCTTCAGAATCTTCATGATTCATCAAATATGGACGATACTGATCCACTAAAAACAACAAATTATCACAATAAGTACACAATTTATGGAATGACAGAAATATTACTGTAATAGTAATGTAGCAAGTCTACATTTTTGTGAAATGAAATAACAGCAGGTAAATGCAACTGAAGAAGAATTCACCTTAATAAATTCATTATATTAAAAAATTTACAAAATGTCAATTATACATTTGAATACAATGATCACATTACGATATACTGTATAATACTTTATTTTCGCTTGGAATTTATTTTCGCTATTTTGGCTGAAGGGATGATTCCGTGAACATAAAAGCGAACATACTTTTTTTCCTATATTTCACATTAAACTCATCAAAAATCAGTGAAAATAAATTCCATACAACATGCCCAAAAAACCTTTTCAGCGAAAATTAATTCCAGCGAAAATAAAGTATTCCACAGTATTTTGTGGAAGACACTTATTTTGTTACAATAACAGGTGGTCATTGATATTTCACTAACCTGGAATGATGTTAGGAAATCTATTTTTAGCTCTGTTCTCAGCAACATGTCCAGCTTGGCATTCGTCAGGTTCTGGCACCGGACAAACTACGGATAAATTCTGAAAAAAACAAGTCATTGAAAATGACACAGTCCCCGTTAAGTTCTCTTTGTGCTCGTCATATTAAAGCGGAGGGGTTGTCGCGAGCATGTCCTTGAAACTTGAGTTCCAAGTGGCGTATACAACAGATTGTTTATTTACATCAAAACACTTGTTTCGTGTCATAGTAATATAGCCCAAATAAAAACAGCCGTTATTCAGCCATCTTTGATCTGATTATGAAACACACTT